AGACCCCATAAAAACTTGGCAAGTGAAATGAATAGACAATTTACAGAAGAAGTACAAATGGCCAATAAATATTTGAAGAAAAGTTCAACATCCCTGGCCACCAGAGAAATGCAAATTAAAACAACATTGAGATTTCATCTTACCCCAGGAAGAATGGCCATCAAGAAATGAAATAATAACAAATGCTGGCAGACTGTAGGGAAAAGAAAGTTTTTTACACTGTTGATGCAAGTATAAACTGGTATAATCACTATGGAAATCAGTATGGAGATTCCTAAAAAAAACACACGCACACACAAAACAAAACTAGGAATTCCATTCTTCCCAACAGAATTAAAGACATCATATTACAGTGATACATACACACCCAAGGGTATAGCAGCACAATTCCTATTAGTGAATCTTGGAAGCATCCTATAAGCCCATCAGTAGATGAATGGGTAAAGAAAATGTGGTGTTTTGTCTCAGTAACAAGAAAATAACTGTGACAAATGTTAACATTTGGAATATGTGGGTCCAGAGCACATGGGGATTCTTTGTAACATTTTTGCAATTTTTCCGCAAGTATGAAATAATTACACATTTTTTGGGAACTATTAGGAATTGAACTCAGTGGCATTTTATCATTAAGCTACATCCCGTCCTTTTTATTTGATTTTGAGAAAAGGTCTTGCTAAGTTGCCCAGGCTGCCCTCAAACTTGTGATCCTCCTGCCTCAGCCTCCCTAGTAGCTGAGATTCCAGGCATGCGCCACTGCAGCCAGATCTTTTTTTTGTATCCTGAAGGGATGAGTGTGCCCTTTTCTCTGCCCCATTCCTTTCCCATTCCCACTGGCTGGGAGCTGGCCCTGGAGGAGGTGGCTGTGTGCTGTGGATGGTGACACTGCCTTCTGGAGGGAGACTCTCTGCCTGCATAATAAGCTGCTGCCTGGGGGAGCTGAGGAACTCCATGAGCTGGTTTAGCTCCATCTACTGAGCACATGGGAGTTGGGGTAATGGAGAGAGAAGGTGAAAACTACTCTTGTGGGGAGAGTTAGTGAAAGGATATTAAGGATAGAACAACTTAATGGAAAAGGAGTCCCCAGAAGAAATTTTAAATTCAAGAGGCAGAGAGGAAAAAGTTCAAGGGAGAAGAGAGATGTTTGGGGCTGAGGAGTCTTAGAAGCCTGCACTTCACAGCACAATGGTCACTGCAGTGTACGATGAGAGGCAGACAGAAGAACCATTTTGGTTTACAGGAAGAAGGGCAGAGAATTACGGACCCATGTGGACTGAGGAGGATATGATCAAAGACTATTTAGTGGAATACCTAAGAGTAAACCCAGGTATGGTGCACACCTCTGTAATCCCAGCATGTTGGGAGGCTGAGTTAGGAGGGTTTAAATGTGAGCACAGTTGGGTGAGTTAGCAAGAACCTGTCTTAAAAATAAAAGTATATAAATAAATTTAAAAATATATAGATATATATGGGTGGGGATGTGGCTCAGTGTGGCCAGTGTCCTGGGTTTAGTCCTCAGTATCACACACACACACACACACACACACACACACACACACACACACACACAAAAAAAAAAACAAAT